AAAGGATATCTCTCAGGAGAAATACTAAGTTGTAATATATTTTATCCATGATTAATATCTATAATTTAATTCTATAATTTAATAGCCTTACATATTATTTATTTATTTATTTATTTGATTTATATTGCCGCCTATTCACCCATGGTGACTCAAGGCGGCTTACACAATGTAGAATCATATTTAAAACAAAGAATAAAAATAAAAACAAAAAGAACAAAAAGAATCAAATAAATTAGTAAAGTACAATAGATCAAAATTTGGGAAAACAAAAAACAAAAAAATAAATAAAAGCCAACTCCCACCCCCCCACCCCAACAACAGCGGGTCACACTAGCCATTTGATGAGTTCCATCCCTCTCTGGGTTCCCCAGCCCCGCTGGCATAAACCAGGTCTTCAGTGCCTTTCAGAATAGTATTAATGAGGGGGGCATTCTAATCTCTGGGGGAATGATGTTGCAGAGAGATGGAGCCACCACAGAGAAGGCCCTTCTTCTAGGTCCCACCCGGTGTATCTCCCTCAGGGGTGGGACCTGCAGCATGCCCTGCCTCCTCACTCTAATGGGTCAGACAGATGTCACTTGCAAGAGATGTTTCCTCAGATAACCCAGACCCAAGCCATGAAAGGCTTTAAAGGTAACAACCAGCACCTTGAATTGCACCTGGAAGCAAATTGGCAGCCAATGCAGCTCCTGCAGGAGAGGTGATACATGCACACACCGTGGTCTGCATAAAACCATGCGGGCAGCTGCATTTTGCACCAACTGGAACTTCCAGATGCTCTTTAAGGGCAGCCCCATGTAGAGCACATTGTAATAATCAAGACGGGAAGTGACCAGGGCATGAGTGACTGTAAGTAGGGACCGCTAATCCAGGAAAGGGTGTAACTGGTGCACAACCCGCAGTTGTGCAAAGGCCCTTCCGGCCATGACTGCCACCTACTCTTTGAGCAGGAGTCATCAGTCCAGGAAAACCCCTAGATTATGCACATGGTCTGTTTGGGGTAGTGCCACCCCATCCAAGACTAAAGGTGGTAATTCTCCCTGAACCAACGAACCCCAGACCCAGAGCCACTCAGTCTTACATGGGTTTAGTTTCAACCTGTTGCTCCCAATGCAGCCCCTAACAGCCCCCAGGCATTGCAAGAGGGAGGACACAGCAACACTTAACTCACCACGGGCCGAGACATACAGCTGAGTATCATCAGCATATTGGTGATACCTCAGTCCATGGTGACGGATGATCTCACCCAGTGGTTTCATATAAATGTTGAACAGGAGCGGAGAGAGTACCAAGCCTTGCATAACCCCGTAAAGCAGCGGACAAGAGTTGGATTTCTCCCCTCCTATTAACACTGACTGAAAGCAGCCGCAGAGGAAGGAAGTGAACCAAGACAGCACAAGGCCTCCCACTCCCATCCCCTGAAGCCATCCCAGGAAAATCCCATGGTCAATGGTATAAAAGCCGCCGAGAGGTCAAGTAGAGCAAGGATGGATGCACTACCCCCATCCCACTCCTGTCAGAGATCATCCAAAAGTGTAATCAATGCTGTTTCTGTCCCAAATCCAGGCCTGAGTGGTAGGGGTCGAGATAATCCGTTTCATTCAGAAACCTCTGGAGCTGCTGCGCAACCACCTTCTTAACAACCTTCCCAAAAAAGGTAAGATTGGAGACTGGTCGGAAATTATCCAACCGGGTGGAGTCAAGCGATGGCTTCTTAAGAAGATGGCAGACCACAGCCTCCTTAAAGTGCTTGGGCACTGTCCCCTCTTGTAGAGAACCATTAATCACCGCCAGAGTCCACCCGCCTGTCACCTCCTGGGAAGTTTTCACAAACCAGGAGGGACATGAGTCTAAAATACAGGTGCTTGCGCGCATACTCCCTAGGATCCTGTCCACTTTCTCAGGAGCAACAGGGTCAAACTGTTCCCAGATAACAGGGCAAGAACCTGCCTCAGAAGCTTCCACTGGATCAGCAACCACGTCGGCATCTAACTGGGAATGAAGTTGAACGATTTTGTCTTCCAGAAAATCCACAAATTCCTCAGCGCGCCCCTTCAGGTGGACCTCAATCTCCTCCTTCCCTAAGAGGAGACAGCTCATCTTAAAGAGGGTTGCTGGGTGATTATCTGCAGATGCAATTAGTGTGGAGAAGTATTTACACTTCACCTCACGAATCGCCACAAGGTAGGCCTTAGTAGCAGCTCTTACCCGTGTTCGATTGAGTTCATCTCCTGTCTTCCACCAGCACGCTCTAGATGTCTCCTCATGCGTTTCATCCCTCTCAGTTTCTCTGTATACCATGGGCCACAGAGAGGTCTATGAGTGAGGAGAGGTCACAAGGGTGCAATCCTATCCAGAGCCTCAATCACCTTCCTATTCCAAACAGTGACTAAGAGTTCGGCTGGACTGCATAATAGATCTGTAGTTATAACCCCCAGATCTTTCTGGAACCTATCTGGGTCCATAGTTGATGGGGGAGGACCAATCTAATAGGTCCTGGCTCCCTGCAGGGGGATGCAGCTTTTGAGAAACTCATTGCCACCAGACCGTGATCTGACCATGACAAGGGGACCAAGGACCAATTCCAGGTCACATAGACACTGCTCCGACAAGAACACCAAATTGGGAGTGTGACCTTTATTACTAGTCGGGCTCTGGATAATCTGGGACAGGCCCATGGAAGTCATGGTTTCTATAAAATATTGGGCTACCTCCAATCCCAACCCCAGAGAAGACAGGTTGAAATCCCCTAGAACTATAAGCCTGTGGAATTCCACTGCCAGTCCTGCGGTGAGGTCCAGGAGCCCAGGTAGGGAAACTGCCATGCAGCAGAGAGGCTGGTATAGCAGCAGCAATCCCACCTGATCCCTTGAGCCCAATCTAAGAAAAAGGATCTCACAGCCGAGGACTTGTTGAACAGTGCCTCTGGAGGCTACCAGAGATTCTCTGATAACAACAGCCACACCTTCTCCCCAGCCCTGAGGTCTAGACTGGTGCCATGCTTGATAACCCACTGGGCACATTTCTGCAAGAGGAACGCCTCCCTCTGAGCTCCGCCAAGTTTCAGTTATAGATCAGCCTTCTCTTCAAGGATCAAATCAGCAATAAGGCTAGCTTTATTGCAAGCTTATCTCACATTTAAAAGCAGCAGTCCAGGGCCACCACAGATCTGCTGACTAGGAAAATGATGTGAGTGCAATGGGGCAGAACATGAGATTGTTATTAAACACATAACATTCGTGTTATGGTGAAATATAAGGTTTCTCATGGCACTCAATCACCTCAAGAGGAAAACTTACTTAAATAGATAAGCCTACAAGATAAACAACTCTCCTCTAGTATTAGAATTATGCCCTCTGTAACAGGAAAACAAAAGATAGCTTAACTCTCACTGGACAAAATATAATGCAAGTCTAATTGTAAAACTTAAAAATAATACATTTCTCGCATTATAATCCTGTACATTTCAACTGGGAATTGACACATCAGTATAATCTAAAACTGTTATGACAACAGTATGACAACAGTATGATTTTATCAACTCTTTAAAAATCCTAGCCATCTATCCACATTCTGCTACTTTAATTTGATCACCTTGTATCATTTGTTACTATCTAACTTCTTTTATTTCTTCAACTCTCCAGATTTGGCCTAAGATTCCTAGAAAAGAGGCTGCCCATGAAAACCTTATAATAATAGAAAAGCCATATATTATATGTCTGTTGATCAATAAATCCCATAAAATTCAGGAGTCCTTAGTTCTATGTAGCATTACAAAATCCAGATTGAACTATAAATATGTTTCCTGTTGCAAGCATCATAGATCAGTACCTTGGACAGCTACATTGCTAACTCACTATTTGGGACTTTTGAAATGTTAAGAACACATGCAGAATGGCTACTGAGGGAAACTTATTTCTTTACAGAACTGAGAGCACCGTTCTAAACATATAACTGAGCTTATGCCATTCATCAGTTTTATTTGATAAGACTGACGGTTGGGATTGTTTGGAGCCAGAAGCAAACATATATATGGAGCTGAAAGCTCTAGTGCCTTGCTTTCTAACATATTAGCTTTCTGGTATGTTGGGTTCCTATACCAACTTTCTATAGGGTTTCAGTAAAGAGCCAACTCAGTTCAAAGTACATATTTTGTGGGGGAGGGTTTAATGACTAAGAGTTATCCAGGACATATCCTGCAGAATCATAGACTTTGGACACATATTATTTGAATGATTTGCCTTAACTTGATTTTAAACATGCACTTGTAAATACAATTAATAAGAACTGGAGAAAAAGACACAAGTTGTGTTATTTTAGTACAGGAGTGGACAACCTGAATTTCTTTAGCTTTGATGGACTTCAATTCCCAGCATCCCTCTGGACTGAGCAAATGGACGAAGAGATCCCAATTTCAGTCAACGTAGATTGCTTTTCGCCTCTCCACTTTAATTCTATACAGGTGAAAACAGAGGATTCCTTCAAACTTTTTCTTGAAACTAATTGTCGTGTAATTCTGTAACAAAATAAAGAGAAGGCTCAATTGCTAGTATGCCTAATATGGAAGATAACTCTCTTCTTGCATACTTTCATGACTTTTAAAAAATACGTGTCGGCCTAACCTAAAAATCGTAATCCCATGGAATTCCTCCTGGACTCACGCATGTTTTTTTAGGGGGGGGGGGGGCTAAAAGAACAGTCAAGATGCGCTAGAAGTTACCACACTGATGCAAGCTAATTTTTAAGAAGTATACTTAAAACCGTAGTCTTCAAACTTGATCCTCCCAGTCTGTCGGATTGTGTCATGCGTGTTCCCATATCCGAGTCTTCTCGACGCCACCTCTCTTTAAGTACCCCCCTCTCTTTCTTCCCCATGATCCTCCCCTTCTCTTGCGCGCGCTCTCTCTCGATCTCTGCAAGTCGGATTCGTTTCTCTCCTCCTTCTTCTTGCAATTGTGTTCTTGAATTGCCTCCGCGTCAGGATTCCTGAACCAGCCACTATGGCTGACATAAAAACGGGCATCTTTGCGAAAAATGTTCAAAAGAGGCTGAACAGGGCACAGGAAAAGGTAAGCGAAGACAACTGCAACTGCTGGAGAAAAAGCGGAGTCTGCGCTTTGGGATTCCACGGCGATGAAGAAGCGTAGAAGTGCGAGGGGAAGGGGGTGGCAGGTTGCAACAGATCCTTCAGTAAATGCGAGGGATAGAAATCAGCACCCCGCGGATCCATTTGAGAAGAGCTGCACAACCAAGCCGAGCCAGAAGACATGCAGCGCTGCTACGGCGTTGCAAATGCAAACGCTGAGCGCTTTCATCGCGATCTCGGGCAAGGCCGCGGCTGCGGATGCCGGCGTGGATCAACGTCAGGCTTTCCATAACTAAGCTGCCGCCCTCGCCCGATTCGCTTTTTCGAGAATGGTTTGTACAGAGTGCATTATACCTGTATTAATTGGAGCTCTTACAAGATGGGGTGGAAGCCCGTTAGGGCGAGCGAGAACCAAGTATCTGAATTAATCAGAAGGACACGAGCATTTTAAGGGCTGTATTGAATCCCTCCCCGCGGGAAACTAAAAAGAAATATTCAAGGCCGTCTGACTTTTGTTGCCCCATTTGCTTCAATGCCTTGCAGGGCAGTTAAAGGTGACGTTGCGCACCATCAAAACCGCGTTCCCTGCTCGTGAACAGAACAGCACCCTTTGGAAAAATGGTTGAATTCGGGCTCAGTGGGCTGGGGAGCTGCGGCACAGAAATACTGGCGTGGACTTGATTCCTTGCTCGTTTGTGTGCCTGAAGTGCTCCCTGTATAAATAAATCTTGATAAAGAGATGGTGGACCGCGGAAAGATGCCCCCTCCCCAAGGAACTTTTAGTTAATACTTCGTCTATAATTACCGTGCTCCTCCCTCTTCTGTTGGCAAGCTGCCCTCATCAATAGTGTTATATAATATCCCTTGGCCCATTGAATGATTACCATATTCATGAACCCTTTTAATCGGAGGAAAGATGTAGGGAAGAGTTAGATTTAGACTGCCTTATACCTGTTCTATCATTAACTCAAGAATTATGTATTATTTCTTATCACAGAAAATCAAACAGTTGCAGTGTGCTGTTTTGCCTGGGCCAAAGGTTGGGCCTTGCTTTAATATTTAGTTTTGCTTTTGGGATCAGCTTGCTCAGAGTCAAATAATGTTTGCCAAGAGATAGTGGCTCCAGATTTTTGCAGCCTCTTGGCTCATGAAAAAAACTGTATATTCTGTGAGCTGTTTGTGTGCTCCATAGAAAACACTTTTGATCCTTTTCATTAATAATAAGACCCCTAGAGATATATGACTTGGCTACCTTATGGAGATAGTCTTGCTAAGACCATCTATTTTTTATTTGGGAAAGACATTGGGCCATTCTGTCTTACACTTCCCACTTTCCTTTTCCAGCATTCTGGTGCTTTGATAATATTGCAGCTGCTATCAAAGGATTTTGATAATCTGCAGCTTGGAAGGAGGATTGGAACTATAGTTGTCTCTGCATAAATAAAGATTCAGTTCTCCCTAAGCCCCATCTTTATGTGACCATTTCACTAGATTATAAGAGGATTATGTTTCTTTTAATAACAGCCCAAGCTTAATGTAAAGTTATTTGATCTCCTGGCTGCATTCATCTAGAAACTAAAGCAGCATTGATCAGAGAGGTCTTCTCTAAATGGCTTCTGTCACTAATCCACAATGGCCACCAAACACCCCATATTCCAGTGTTTTATCAAACATTGCCAAGTTTTATCAAAACTATTGCCAGGTTTTTATTCAAAATTCAGAGTTCTGGCTGTTTAAAATATATTAAAAGGAAACAAAATCCACATTACTCAGGTTCCTAATGATTTGCAACTGAAACTGCAGCAGTTCTAATTCTTAGGAACAATGGACCAATAGAGACAAATAAGAGATGATAGAAATGGGGTATAAAAGATTCTGGTAGAAACATGAGATGGAAGAATGGGTGGGCTTTGGTCTTATATTCAGGGAAATCAACTTTTGATGTTTTGCCATATTTAAAAGCAGTGCTTTTTCTCTTAGTAAGACAGAATAGTTTCCTGTAGGTCTGAATTAAATAGCTCAGGTATATGGTGACTGAATAACTCTGCAGAGTTATTGGAATACATTTTGCAATCTGAAATATACCGTATTTGCCGGCGTATAAGACGACTTTTTTGCCCTAAAAAACATGCCTCCAACTGGGGGGGTCGTCTTATACGCCGGGTCGTCACGTGTGGCCAGTCAGGGCTCCTCCCTGCAACCGAAGCCCTGAGGAGACACTTGGCTTCAGACGCTCCCGTCTTCCCTTTGCTTTCAAAGGTAAAGCGAATTATTTTACAAAGCCTCCCCTGCCCGAGAGGGCAGCCCAACCCAACGTGGGGAAGCTAATTTCCTGGGGCCTCTTCCGTTCCTCCCCGACCTCCCTACACTGCGCGCCTCTGACGCGCCGGTCCC